TTATTGACTCACGACGAACCGACAAAAGAAGAGAACATGACTGACGATGTGTCCAAGGGCGCGAACTGTCCGTCCGGACTCTAATGAATGTCTATGAACGACATGCTTTGATGAACGTTGAGTTTGGATTCATTTGTATTGACTATGCTATACTTTACTATGTTTATTTCATATGTTTCTTGTTTAGCGGGATATAGGCAGGCATTTTGCATAATAGGGCGCAAATATAAATACTGTTGATCGAAATCTATGCTCAGTTCTGGTGCAATTACCTTCCTACGTGTGCGCAGCCTCACAATCGATTTCTGATCTAGCTTTTCTCTGCATATTCTTTCTCCTCTAGTCTCACAACTTCACTTTCTTACAACTCTGCAGTTCTTTACCTACACTCGTCCTCCACAGTCACCAAAACAAAAGGCACGCCCTCACGAGTCCGCTTAGCCCCTAAACCAGGGTCGTCTTGTGCGATGAGTTTTCGAAGATATCGAGAACGAGTGCCTGTTACACAAGCTGATCCAAGAATTCAGATAGATTCAAGCCTTCCACGTAGAGACTCTCGGACTGGGGCAGATCCAACGCCAAGAAGGAACCGGCGATCCTTGACTTCTGAGATGCTTGCTCTGCAGATGGCGTCTTGATATGTTTCATTGTTCTGAGTCTCTAATTTATTGCTCTCCGCCTGCGACATAGACTCGAATGAGGAAAAGGGTAAGAATAGGGATCTGGTTTACCTCGGTGGTCGATATGGTAGCAGCCTCGCATGCATTGCCACATCTTTTGCTGTGATTGTGCAGTTCTGCTCCCCGGAGTGGTCTGTTACATGCTGTCCTATCATGAGAACTGTCCGAGATCTCTAGACCATCGCAATATTCAGTATAGTCAAATACGACCCTGCTCTTTTGTATAAGGGCTTCTCAGACAGCTTCGCCTACCAGAAGTTTACGACACAGCAAGCAATACCTGAACAGGAATCGAAAGTGTACTCGCATTGCACACGACCTCGTGCTACACTTTCGTACAACCAACATTTGGGAGATCAAGCGCATAGTTCGCATAACGAATACTGATAGCCAGAATAAGATTAACAGAAACTCCGACCCTTAAGCTTATCGCAACGAGTCTTGTGACCATATCCTCTAAATACGATGACTGAAGAGGGTATAAGCCTAAGTTCCGACTTCTTATCCTCAAGTCTGGGATCGTATCCTCTGAATCTTTACAAGAGGTTAGGAGGAGAGAACCTAATATTCCACCCACGGGACAGGATATGCTGTTCGGCTGACAGTCCGAGTCATCAAAAGAAGATGTTAGATAAGCTCGTGGAAGCAGGGCTTGTTGATACTGAGGCAAGGCCATTAATGGGATCTGAAAGGGCTCATTATGACGCTCTCAGATGATCTAAGCCCTAGCTTCTCTAAGAAACTGATGTATAGACATAATTCCACCTTGTGTGACGCAATACTGAGAATCTCATTAGTCGACGGTGCCTCCTACTAGCAGTGATTGTAAATACGAGACCACACCGGCCACCTGAAGACATCGCTACTACAGTTACTAGGAAACTTCATGAAGGCAGCACCTGGCAAGCTATCAAATTACAATCAGTGGATAAGAGACATATCATCTTATGCTACTGGTATGAATACCGCCTAGAGTAATAGGACTTAGGTATAGGGTATAGGGTGCTGTATAAAATTATTACCATGATTGGCTTAAGGTATGCAAATAACTTTAGAATTGTTCTGGAATCCATCAAGAAACTTGACGTTGAACGTCACGTGAGCTGATTTGTGATGAATGGGCGGACGACTGTGGGGGTCGAGGGTTGAATTTTTCTCTGCCTGAATTGTGAATGATGATGACGGAGAAATAAGGCCAAAACTGAACTGCAACTTTTTTGAATTTGGAGGCGAATGTGGAGCCGCTAAAGCTCCACTTGGCGAATCCCGATCTTTGTGTTTCTGTTGGGGAAACTGGGGAGAATGAACCAGGGGTGTAAAAGGTACGTACCATCCCTGCTCAGGACAGGCTTCAGGGCCTTGAGCTCGGGAGAACGGGACTGACTCTGAATGGAATCGACAATCCCATTCCATTTCCACTCGAACTCGGAGCACGGTAAAAGAGTAACCGAGAGAGTCTAGAAAACCGAGAGACTCCTCAAATGGACAAGTCATGTCAGTAATCAGCCAAATGGGCCGAGGTATCGTTCGATCCGGGGGAACAGAGGTTGCATTGGCCTGAAGTTCGCGATAGGGCTGATATGTTGAAGGCTATCATTTTGATATTGTTTGCATTGGGATTCAACAATTGACAATAATCACAATCTGATGAATCCTCGGAATGAGAATCATATGACGTTCTCAATTAGACGCCTATAGCTCGAGCACATGGCATGATAACTCGGGATTTGGCGGACGTTGTAGTTATGATATCAAGATGTGAGGTGAGGTTGGCCAAGGATCCCTATCAAGATTTGAGGGTATCAACCCGAGGCATGCACTGTACAGTGAGAACTGTGCATTTACTATTGACTGGCACTGACTGATGCGAGCTAGATCTTTGAGATAAGCGTGTACGTGCAAGTGTGTCTACGTCAAAGCAGAGTCTGCTTTAGCAGACGGGAACGAGCCTCGGCATGCCCGGTTTTCAAACGGTGCTCAACCAGAATTGAAGTGATTTACATATCAACAGCTCAATTGGGGATCAATTCGCCACTTCAACTGTCAATGCAACAGAATTTCGTGTGCCTGTCTTGGCCTGCTGTTAGTCCTGTATCGTTCCGTTTGTGATACTGTCCAACCTCATCATCATCACCAACGTCTAAAAGTCCATCTACCAACAAAACGTCTTGGATATCGATGACCTCCAATAGATCGGGACTTTTTCAATCATGCCATGCGAGATCCCACAATCGACTTCGGCAAATAGCATCGCCTCTTAACAAATCAGTGGAGATGTGGACTCTGCATTTTTTCTCTCTGATTTTTTTTTTCTTCGTCTTGAGGCTTGACTTAGATCAAGTCTCACTCACAGTCTCGAAGCTCAGGCGGCTCCGGGTTTTTCGTGTGAGCTCCCCTGCATGGAAGACATGCACTGGCGCGTTGCCTCTTGCAGGGCTAGATGTAGATGTGCCGTCCCTTGAAATAGAAGTACCCTCGAACCCAAAAATGGCTGATGAGGTACTTTGTCTCTGGCAGGGGTACCCAAACGGTACCCGGGCGCCCAGCCGAGCCCCACACTTGATTGGAGCCGCCAAAAAGTTGTTGGGGAAGCAAAAAAGGTTGAGGGAAGGAGCGATCAGGTCGACGTCGACCTTTCGTCCCAGCTACGAGACCCAGTATCTGTCCGAGCAGACGTCGCCCAGTTGATCTTTGTATTTGCGGAGAAAGACCGACATAATTTCAACACAATGAAAGCGCCTACTAACGATACCTATCGTGGGCCGATTACTGGCATCATATCTTCGTCTAAGTGACAGGGCATAAGGAAGATCTCGGTAACTCGAGATGCAGAGCAGAGCGGGGAGTTAGATGAGATATACATCGTAAGTTGTTGGAGGGCATGGTCATCTGAATTACAGTGCTTGCCAAAGGTTGATTGATGTGAATCACTTACAGCAGCTGTTATTAGTCGGCTGTGACAGGTTCAGTTTTGACTTCTAGAAGACAATGACACAACCAATTCAGTATCAGGTTCAGCCAATTGAAACGTCAACATGCTCAACTACCTTCAACAAGTCCTGCAACTCGCTAAACCCAATATCAAAACTCCTGATAATGGTCGAATTGACAATTATCCGTATCAGTCAGTGAAGGGTTCAGTACATGCTCTAGATACTGCACTGTACAGTACAGACAAAGTCCCTGAATTCATGATGTATAAGCGCCTCTATTGATCAAGAGGGTTAGGTTGCCGGGAAGCGACGGGAGCTGCTGTTGCCTTTTTCTTGGTCCGCCCGCCCCAATGGATTTTTCTTCCTTTGATGGGGAGACGGTAGGCGTGTGTGGCATAATACGCCAGATTCAACCTCACTCACAACTTGGACACAACCACAGATAGCATAGGCCTGTCCGAATGGATAGCAGCATTCCATTTGCTTCATCCTCATCAATCTTCACAAGCAAAGAATATCTCAGATCGCCGAGGTTCGAAGCATCATGACGACTTAGACACGATTGTGAAGGCCTATCAGTCAGACGTCAACAGAATACAAGCCTGCCCCAACTTTATCTTGAGCTTCCCCAACTCAAAACCGACACACAATTCTGGTCGAAAGGAAGAGCTTACCTGGCCTCCTCGCCTTTGTCATTCATCATCTGATTCTGTATCGGTATATGCCATCGTCTTCATTTGCCTCCGCCTCCTCGCTTGAGAAAGTCGATTCACACAAACCCCAGCTCCTGATGACCAAAACGGCTTCGTTTTACTTCCCCAACCTTGAGTTCGCCGCCACAACAAGGGTTAATTGTCAATCAGAGGTCCCACTCTGGCCCTGTATTTTTCTTTGCCTCCTGCGTCCTCACTGAAGGAAGCGCTGTTCGGTGTCTCTGTCGCCGCTGAGAAGGAGGCAGAACAGCCCGGACAAGGCCTGAGACCAGGACCCTCCACTTGCAACCCTCCACTTGTCTCACGCCTCCCAAACCCACTATACTTTACACCCCCCTCCCCAGTCTCTCCCGCTTCCTCGTCCTCATCCAATTCAATCGATTCTTTCCTGCACCCAGCTCCGGCTCGGGTCTGCCTCTGATAGTATAAAGTCCTTTTAGAGCCCTCCGCCCCAACCGGAATTACTTCTCGACCAACCTCCTCCAGTTCCTTCCCCTTCTTATAAACCCTTCACCCTTTGTTTAGGATACTCTTCATCCTCAAAAGGTTCAGCTTTCCCTTCACTTCTCTGAGTAACCATCAACTTTGTGGTTCTCTCTGTGTTGGGTTCCTATATCTTCGAGTCGACGACAGACACTTGCCATCGCCAACCTATAATCGACAACTCGATCGATATGGCGACAGCTACTGCTGCGGGCAAGAATGCCCAGCCATTCCCTGATGGCACCAAGGACTATGTTCCTCTCCGCGCTGGCGGTGCCAAGAAGGATGCCAACAAGGTCCATATTGCCGATACTCCCATGACCTGGAGCAACTGGCCTCAGCACATCAACTGGCTCAACACCACGTTGGTTATTTTCGTTCCCTTGGCCGGATTCATCTCCGCCTACTGGGTTCCTCTCCAGCTCAAGACTGCTCTCTGGGCTGTCTTCTACTATGTTCACACTGGTCTTGGCATCACTGCTGGTAAGTCAACTCCCAAGAAAGCACTGGTTCCGAAACCCAGTTATCATCGATCAATTACTTACAGTACCAGGTTACCATCGACTTTGGTCTCACTCTGCCTACAAGGGCACTACCCCTCTCAAGATCTATCTCGCTGCTGTCGGTGCTGGCGCCGTTCAGGGTTCCATCCGATGGTGGTCATATGGTCACCGTGTTCACCACCGTTATACCGATACCGACAAGGACCCCTACTCCGTCCGCAAGGGCCTCATGTACTCCCACATGGGCTGGATGATCCTCAAGCAGAACCCTAAGCGACAGGGCCGTACCGATATCACCGACCTCAACGAGGACGCAGTCGTTGTCTGGCAGCACAAGAACTACATCAAGTGCGTTCTCTTCATGGCTCTCGCTTTCCCTGCTCTCGTCGCTGGTCTGGGTTGGGGTGACTGGTGGGGTGGTCTCGTCTACGCTGGTATCCTCCGTGTTTGCTTCGTTCAGCAGGCCACCTTCTGTGTCAACTCTCTTGCCCACTGGCTCGGTGACCAGCCTTTCGATGACCGCAACTCGCCCCGTGACCACGTTATCACTGCTCTCGTCACCCTTGGTGAGGGATACCACAATTTCCACCACGAGTTCCCTTCGGATTACCGCAACGCTATTGAGTGGTGGCAGTACGACCCTACCAAGTGGAGCATCTGGTGCTGGAAGCAGCTTGGTCTTGCTTATGAGCTGAAGGAGTTCCGTGCCAACGAGATTGAGAAGGGTCGTGTCCAGCAGCTCCAGAAGAAGCTTGACCAGAAGCGTGCCACCCTCGACTGGGGTATTCCTCTTGAGCAGCTCCCCGTTGTTGACTGGGACGACTTCGTTGCCCAGGCCAAGGCTGGAAAGGGTCTCGTTGCCATTGCCGGTGTTATCCACGACGTTACCGACTTCATCAAGGACCACCCCGGTGGCAAGGCCCTCATCAACTCCGCCATCGGCAAGGACGCTACCGCCATCTTCAACGGTGGTGTCTACCTCCACTCCAACGCTGCCCACAACCTTCTGTCTACCATGCGTGTTGGTGTCCTCCGCGGTGGTTGCGAGGTTGAGATCTGGAAGCGTGCTCAGTTCGAGAACAAGGATATCACCTACATGAACGACTCTGCTGGTCAGCGCATCATCCGTGCTGGCTCCCAGGTCACCAAGATTGTCCAGCCCGCTGCCAGCGCCGATGCTGCTTAAGCGGTACAATCTTTCTAACGACGAGAAGAGGAGGAGGGATAATTGATCGACGTGCAATGTGGAAGGATACGAAAATCGTCATGTCAGTAGAGACATGTCGTTGAAAGGGTGTGGGGATACAGTCAGCCACAGATCACATGTCAAAACATGGACTGTAGGCGGGCGCCACACCCATCCCTGGAGGAAGAGACAAAAGCACAGCACGTTTTTAACGCGAAATCATAAATTCGACTCATGAATGGCGTTGGGGGGTTTCTTTGTGTTTTGACACTACTTAGCTTTTGACGGCTTTGAACAATACCAAAAGAGGATGGTTAAACATGAAATCAGCGAGTTGCACAACCACCACTTGGTTCTTCATCAGATAGTATGACTGCTCGGAAATACAATTTTTTGAATAATATACAGATCTCAATCAGTTATGTGAATTCTATCTCGGCTACATATGTAATGTGATGTAATGTGATCTATATACGCTCAAGCTGCATCATAACGAGTGCTGAGTATCTCGACATAACACAAGTATCAGAACCGTTGCTATGCCACTGTACACCTTGGTGATGTGTTTGAAATTCTTAAAAGCCTATTTAGTGGCTCCATGTATGCCAATGGCTTGGTTTCTATCGGATTTCAAATCAGTCTGCCTATGTTTCACGGAGTGTCGTCCTTTAGGTTGCTCTGCTTCAAGATAACTCGTGACATGCATGCTTGATGCGGACTGTCCACAAGACTAGCCAGGGGCCTGTTGTTCTTTGACTTCATCCGAGTGACCTCGGCGCACATCTTTTCAGATACCCTGCCCAATGCTGGCGTGGGGTCGGCGTCTTGTGCCCTTTGTGGCCACGCAATGCTGCGTCTGACAAATCCTTAACTCTCTTGACTCGAAGGTGGTGGAACGGCATGTAGTGCAGACAGGGGACATCCTCCAAGAGGTGCAAAGGTAGCGGGCCGCCTCAGCAATGCACATCGGATGGATATCTGTAACGTTGTTTGTCTTGACACTGCGAGCTGAGTCTAGCAGCTGTCAACTGTGACTTCATGGAGTGGCCATTCGTGCTTTCTGTACTGCCAGTTCAGAACTCTTGGCCCATGCCCCATTCGGGGTCTGACGATAACACAACAGGCGCCCGTCGTCACCTGTGCTGCCCAATATGTGACCATCGTCATCAAAGCCCACGCGCCACACAGGGGTACGATGGTTGTCCAGCTTGGATATCTCGTGGAAATTGTGCTTAACCTGGCCCGGCTGCCCCGACCATTGTCGATCGTTGTGAGAGCCTGACTTTGCAAGACTGGCGCTGAGTCCAGAGGTATGGTGCTGATGTTGGTGATAACTGTGGGATGGTTGCAGCTGAGGCGTGGAAGCTTGCTTCTCCGTTGGTGTCGCAGTTCCGTTTGTTCTTGCTTGTGGTGTCGAGTCTCTGGTTGACATGTGTGGTGCTGACCGAAGGAGGTCGGCTGCAGACCACGACTTGCCATCATCTTCGGAATAGGGTGTCTCAATTCGGAAGACGCGCGCATAACCATCCTGACATGCTGTCGCAATAACATCGTAACCTCTAATATTGCCTGCAGCCCATGCAACATCCCGTACGAGACCCCGATGACCCGTTAGCTCGACAGCAAGATAGAACTCTTTCTGGGTTTGTTGAACGCCTATAGAAGTCGCAACGATATCCCGCGATCGATATACTTTGACAGTGTCCATTGCAGCCACCACAAGACCTAAGGAATCTGAGGGTACGCCTGCGCGCAGAGCTGTATAACATGGTTCTGGATTGGGGTCGAAGCGCACACGAAAGGCGAGTTCTTCTCCTCGATTTGGTTTCGGAGCGACACTGAATTCGTCGATAGATGCATATTCTGAGAGGTTCTCGGGCTGGTCGTTTTCGTAAACTGTTAAACGTCCGTCTGTCGCGAGGAGCGCAAGATATGTATGCCTCGTCTCTTCATTATGCTTCATTGAAAATGATCGGTAGGGGGCTTTATTCGATCGAGTGTCAAACGCCGGCTTTCCATTACCAGCTCGTCCAGTACAAAATCGTCGCCCAGGCGCAGCAGAGGGATCCTCGGCCCATAAGCGGAACCACCCTTCGATACCGAGGGAAGCGATCAAATTAGGATAAACAGTCGCGGGGAGCCATTGAATCTGCAAGAGTGAGGGAATAGAGTCAGCGCGCGTGTGCGACAGAATGACACAGGAGGCAAGAATACTACGAGACAAGGGGGCTGCGTTACCTCTATAATCTCGCCGCCATGTGCAGTCCATGTATCGCAAAGGCGCCATGTGCCATCCTTGTGACGGTTAAAGACGCGGATCTTGCCATCTACTGAGCCAGTTGCGCAGCGATCGCCGTAGGTGTTGAATGCGACGGCTTGGACGAGATCTTTATGGCCGTGTTGGAGGTTGAGGTCGAAGGCTGGTGTTTCTTCGCCGGGTGATGGAGGGATTGAGGCGGTCATTGTGAAAGCGCCTAGACTATTGTAGCAGTTTACAGTGAAAAGAGGCGGTGAGTTTTCTATGTCTTGTACTATAAGTAAACTCCGATATCGTCGTCTGATGTCTTGAGGTGGTGGTGATGTGTTGTTGACTTGGGACCTGCTGAAGCTCCACAGCGGCTCAAGCTCAGCTCAGGCTCAGCCCAGCTCGGTACGTACCGCAGCCTGTCAAAATGCAGGTTCCCCGCGTGAGGTGCCTGAGCCTGTGCCTGTGCCTGTGCCTGAGCAAGTCACCCAATCAATCTGAGGCATCATGATATGATCAATATTGCCTTATATGAGGTTAGGTGTTCTGACTAAATAATTACTGAATAGTCCTAGCCATTTGTATATAGTTCTATCATATAGCGACTAGTATTATGTAGCAGACAATATTGTGCTTTACTGGTCGATATTATTCTTCAACAAAGATGAGGCGCACGCGACACAATGGTGTAGCTTTGTGCCCTTTGAACAGGAAATTGATTATAATTGGTGCCGATATTCATGTGAGTTCGTAGAGCTTGTTCTTTGAAACTTGGTAATTCATTTCATATCTCACAACTTCTTCATGAGACTCAGAATAGTAGTCATGATGGCTCGAGGTCACTCATATTCGACTCTTCTATCAGACAGACTCTCTTTTATGAGAGAACAACAGCCTTGGATGCAACCGTCGAAACTTAATCTTAATTACTAACAGAGCTTGTTTACATAAACTCAAAAAGATATTATGGAAGTTATCATGAGTGATGTAAATGCAGGGATCTTGGTCTGTTCCACAGCATAAGAGGCTTGTTGATTAGTCCACGCGAGTTCTCCACATGCAAGTTAGAGCTTCTCAGCCTTGCTAAACTTCAACCCTTCCATCATCGACACCATCGCGTTTGCTTTGTGATATCTAATATACCCAACATGGCGCATCTTTTGAATCCCCTGGCAACGACATCTCAAATCTACCATAAATCTTCATTCTCGTCTCTGCCCAAAGATCTCCAGGATACAATATTTATCACTTCGCAATGCCTCACACAAGCTGCTGGTCAGCTTCTAGAGCTTCCTCAGTCTGTCACTGCGCAAGCAAACGTCATTCTGGCGCGATACTGGCTTGTCGACTCTCCAATGGCGAACGAGTTCAGTGTAAGACCAACCCCTGAATCAATATCACAGCTTTGTCTGACTCATACTCCTAGGACACATCTGCTGCTGCTCTCTATCTAGTCGCGAAGATGGGACCTCAACCCCGGTCAGCGCGCGACATATCAAATGTTTATGCCTACCTCTTATCCGAGATTTCGTTATTTTTACGGACCCCGGAAAGTCTAGAGAATGACCCAAGGTCGTACTATGTACCTGAAGCAGACTACCATGCCTTTCAGACTCGCATCCTTGCCATTGAAGCTCGCATTCTTTACACCCTCTCTTTCGACACACACGTCTCGCTACCTCATCCACTTGCAGTCACTTACCTTCAGACGCTCGATTTTCTTGCGCAGCCTAAATCTATCATTTCTCTACGCACCATTCAATATCTAAATGCAGCTCTTCTCTCACCTCAGATGCTGTATCTTACTCACCAACCCCATGCGCTAGCTACAGCTGCTATATACAACGCGGCTCGTGATGTTGGTGCGAAGATGCCAGAGTGTGAATGGTGGGAGGTTTTCGATGTCGACCGAGAAGAGCTGGGGTTCCTTGTTGTCGGCATGCGAAGCGTGGAAAACTACCTTCGCAAGATCAAAGAAGATATGCCGGATCTAAGCGTGGGCATGCCTACACGGAAGTCGATAGATGTCGAGCTGCAGAGGAGGGGCGTCGGAGGCGGGAATGATACTGCCGAGGTTGATGAAGAACAACAGCTCATGGACATGATGGACAGCAGATGATCGCGTGCCTTACCTAGTCTTTTTGACTCTGTGCTCGGTATCGAAATCGGTCCTGATGCAGCAACCTGGAAGCAGACGCCACTGTTTCGCGTGTCGCATGTCAGACAAAACACGGCCAATGAGCTGGTGCATCAAGTTGTGGTTCTGCATATTCCAGGCCGACTTTTGAGAGCATCAGGCCATTATCGCGAGTCTCACTGGCTACAGTCAGCCCGGTTGAACGGAAATGACAACTGAGGTTCATGTCAATGGATCAATTGCTACGCTGTGGCATATCGAGAGTTCAATGTGGTATTCAAGAAGCAATTTGCAAAAGTCTAGAACCAGCCACGAGGGAAAAACGACGAGAGAAGAGGAAATAATGCAGGAAGAAAAAGACATGCGGGCGACAACAATATCCCATGCATGTGTACAGTATGCGTGTCACTTTTGCCAGCCGGGTTTCTGGTAATTGTGTCCATAATACCAGCTCTACCAAGTCAACATACAGACAAAGTGATACTTGGCATCATTTTCTTACATCGTCGTGACCCAGTTCCTGGTTCTAGAATTCATATACGACGTAGACTATTACGTTTCACCCCGCGATGCACAATCTGAAGCGGCAGAGGCGGTTACTCTCAGACGCACATAGTTAAAATCAACCGCCAATTCACCCATGAAACCTGCCGGAGCTCCATCAAGCAAGCTTCTGCCGTGTCTGTTAGTGACATGCGGTGAGGACAAACTAAACAGACTGTGGGCCTTCTTGTACCCCAATCAGCCTCGAGGGCATCGTGGAGTTGAGTGCGGGGGATTTGAAGAACTAGCGCTGCCCTCCACGACTGGGACTGAGCGTTGTTGGGAACTGATCTCAACGTTACAACAAAGTATCATGAAACTTGGGAATGATGTAAGTCGTGACCGCGTACTGGTAACGAGGCGTCTAGAGACTGGGGTACAGGCTCCATTACCTACAGCCTTGAATATATGATCTTCCAGTCAAGTGACAACTATCGTGTACAGTACACGTAACTGTACATAGACTCCATGCTAACTGATTAGCAAACACCGTCTTTTTTGTAATGCCGTCCATTATCATTGGCTTGTTACAGAAGATATGAGACAGATTATCTTGGCAGAGCCTCTTGTTCAACCTTCAACCCCCCGTCCTACCAGCGGTAAAGCCGATATCAGGAATAGCCTCGAGTTTAGACAAATCGATCTGACATACTGTAGCGCCGCAAAAACCTTATCTTTCCGCGTAACAAAAAGCATAAAATAAGAAAAAAGAGGCTAGAAAATTCTCATGATAGCCAACTACCTATTCGGGGACAGGTCGTCGACAGTGCAGAGTCAAAGTACAGCAAATCAGGGGAAGGCCCGGTTAGCACGGAGTGCGAGGATATTCGTTGCCGCAGAGCAAAGCAGAGCAGAGCAGAGCAGAGCACCCAATTGAAGCGCGAGTAAATTATCCCATTGGAGCGAGCTCCGATCGACAAGGTCATCCCGCGGCTTTTTTTTCTGAAATCTTGGGGTGAGGCGAGAAATCGGGGCCGTTGATTGGTTCGATGGACAGGATAGGAAACCCTAGAAATCTGCAGTTGGGTTTTCTAGAAGGACGTCTCTCTCTTTTCCCGTCTTAGCCGGACGGTGTTATTGTACTTAATTGTGGTTCTTTTATGGGATCTGAGAACGGGAATAGTTACAGGATCAGGTTACGTGACTAGAGATGAGTAACAAAAAGAGCCGGTCTCGGTGCAAGACATGGAAGTGGCAATACCTTTAGAATCATCAACTGTTATGTACCGTTACACGGACTTGGAGGACCCCCATTCTATTCTCTCTCTGGATCATGCACGGAGAAGACGGAAACAGGGGTGCACTAGTTGGTTATCGTCAGAAAGTTGGTGTGTGCACCCTCTAGTTGGCTTCACATCGTGGGGCAAAGCTGAGGGTGTTGTTGTTTGGTCCTGTCCTGTCCTGTCCTGGTCCTGGTCTGTAAGAAAGAAAGAAAATGGCTCACTCTGTTTAGTTTCGTGGAGCATCAGCATCAAGGCACATCGTGGAGAACATAATGATGAGATACGTATCTTGAATCGCGAAAGGTATATTAGGCCACCTCGACCTCTTTCTCTGAACCTCCCTACCTCTACTCTACTCTTCTCCATCTCACTCTTCCACTATCCATCTTCTTCACTTACACACAAAAACCATCACAATGTCTGACTCCGTCACTCCCCAGACCCCTTCCCACTTCGGTGAGAACAAGGGCATCAAGTTCACCTTCAAGACTGGCAACGCCCGTTACCAATGTGTTCTCCAGGACCGCGCTCACTAGTAAGTTATACACCCTCTTACTCCTAACTTCAGCCTCAACAGAGTACTAACCGTCCTTCAGCGAGCGTACCAAGGCTTCTCGCCAGAACTCTACCGACTCTGTCTCCTCAAACGAGTCTATCAAGACTGAGAAGTCTTCCCACTAAAAATGTGTATGGGATCAAAGGCACCTTGATATACCGGTGACCAGAACAAACAATCAAAATGGGGGGAGTTTATTATACCACAATCATCTGGCATTATTAGCGACGGTTATACACAGGGACATTTGGCGTCTCCATGAATCAAACAATCTATTTACTGTTACTCTACTATTGATGTGCACTGCTGAATGTGAATGTGAAGGTCATCAATGTGTATTTCCTTACCGAGACTCGTTTCTGGGCAACCTAGTATTTCACCCAGTGAGAGCAACCAAATGACAAACAGGCATTCGAATTGTCAGTTTCATCTGCAAGATCCCGAATGCCAAGTTTTCCCAAGTCGCACTCGGTCACTGCAAAAAGAAACGGGGACCCGACCCCGTATCTCGCTCGGTGTCTCGCCTTTTCACCTAATTACTCCACCGCATCAGGACCGACCCTCTTTTGCCGCTGGGATCAGGATCAAAAGACCGAATCAGTGAGTTATTGCTTATCCACTGCGGATTTCGGACAAGACGCGGCTCTAGTGAGGTCAAATCGGAGGTCGGTGGCTTTGGGTTCTGGCGGCTGAAGGCGATTTTGAGGTCGTCGGTCGGAAGCCCGTAAGATGCGACGTCCGTCAGATTAGACCGGAAGACTCGGCCGGGCTTCAACAGAGACCAAGTATTAGAGCCGGTAGCTTCGGATATAAACTATTATCTCATCTCACTTACTTATAGTTAGAGCTGTTTCTCCCTCTCAGCCATTATAATGCCGTGCACATTTTGGCTCATGCTTATTGAAGGATTGAGGGGAAAAGCCAAAGTCGTACGCCATGTACGACTTTATCCCGCCAGGCGTCGTCATATCGTACCTGGCTAAGTTCTAACAGACCGAAACCGATGAAACCATGCTCGGCTCTGTTAACGGAGCCAGGCCAGGCTGACTCGAGTAGCAGGCAATAGTCTAAGTCCCAATAATCGGTGCCGCGCAAGCAAATTACCACGAGCCCATATAAGAGATGGATAATCTCACGTACTCGTAATAGGCTCGTCCTACTACTAAGTTAATACTTTTGCGCCCAGCACTAACGACGAATACAATGACGTTTCAAAGGCAGCAGAGTTTCAGGGGCTTGTTCTCACTGACGCTTATCGCGAACTGACTTTGGTGTGCTAACAGGAGAACAGAATAGGCAAGATTTCTCGAAATGTCTAGTCTTTCTGTTCTTCCGCCAAGCGCGTGATGGCAGGTCGCTTGTGCTTGTTAGTCGGCGCTGTAACTGTAATGCATATCACACATCACATCGCATCACGTCACGCGCCATCCGCAAGCGTCGATTGAGAATTATCTTTGATTCTGATGCGACAAGATGAAGAAGAGTTGGTTATATATAGATGAAATCAATCAGATGAAAGCATTGTTATTTGAAACAATTGTATATGTTGTTATACTTTGGTGTTAGAAGTGGCTGTGCTTGTGATTCTTAGACTTTGACAGCCAAGTAAGTAACTCTCAGCTGGGCAGACAGAATGTGCGAGTAAGTCCGAATCTGAGTCGTAGTCGTAGTCGCCGTCGCTGTCACAATTGATTGATAGTTTGATACTGAACTTAGTAGGCTTGTTTAAATGCCCCCTATCCCACCTCTTACGTCAATCTCTCTTCTACCCCTTCTATTGTTCTTCTGAGCCTACACCAAGCTCCTCTCTTTGTATTCCACTGTCACTGTCACTGTCACTCGTTGTTTGTGTCGCTATTGGATCTGTGATCGACCTACGTACGACGTGCTTGACTATTTCTGTCGCTTTGTTGAGAGAGGATGCCTCATCCTCTGGTGGCTACAGGTATGTAAATCAATCAATTCACAGCGCCACACTCCATTTCCTCTTATTCGCTTCTATTGATTATCCTCTCTGTATTCATCATCTTTTTTTACTGCTCATTCAGGCCAAGCCCATGGATGTTGATTACCCCGCGTCCAAGCTTGCGAATCATGGTGCACGTCTCGCCTGTGTCTGCCTGAGCTGAGGCCAAAAAGAGTGTCGCCTGAGCCACAGCCAGTTCTAGGTCGAGTCCCGAGGCTGCCTGTGGCGAATACAGATGCCAGAAGCAGCACGAGGCCTACGCAAGCTCAAACTTCCCCTTGATTTGCCTCCAACTTCCTCCAATTTAGTCGTTGTTTCTGCTTTTTTACTTTATTATTCGAGTTTCTCGAAAGCTCTCTCTTTGCATTTGCTTTTGTGTGTCTTGTGAAAAAAGGAGAAAGATTTGTTGTCTTCTTTCTGTTTGTTCGCTTGACAGCTCTCACTCCACTCCACTTAGCATCCATATCACATCACGCCCATTCACACCTCTCTTTTCCCTCTTTTCCCTCCTCCATCTGCAGTCTCTCTGCAGACTTGAGAAACAATGCCTAACCATATTGTCCTGGCATCAGGTGCCGTAGTCGCTGTTTCGGTCGCTATCGCCACCACTATCGCCATCTTCGAGTCGCCTGAAGTGCGACGATACGCCGACGATGTTCGAAGGCGGATAGCTTTCGCCCTCCACTCTATGGGTGAGGGCATCCAACCTCCCCACCGCGAGCCCAGGTTTAATAGACCTGAGGATGCCGATGGCTTCTTCGAGTCCCGTCGTGGCGCTGGTGCCGAAGCTGGTGTTGACGCTGATGAGGAAACTCGTCGGCGACAACGTGAGGAACTGCTTTACTGGAACTCGGTCATGCTAGAGAAGCAGGAGAAGGAACAAAAGGACAAGGAAATCGACGAGAAAAACCTGGATTCATCACGACGAGGCTCTTCATTCGATGATTTCCTTCGTCAGGATGAGGGTGCTGAGCGAGGCGCTTATGTCTTCAACACTGGAACTGATACCCGCGCCATGGATGACGGTCTGCGACGTCGTGGCGATGGCTCTCGCGGCTTCTCATCTCTCTACACCAACCCCTTTGCCGACGAGCACAACATTGATCAAGACGAACTGAACAACGATATTGAGCAAAGCCACCACCTTTCTCCCGCCCAAGACGAAATTTCCGACATCTACAGCGCCACTACCCAGGACCGGGATGAGAAGCCCGCTGCTCTTATCGACACTGACCCCACCCCCGCCCTTTCTGAGACAGCTTCTTCCGCCACACTTGAGCGTGAAATCGGTGTCGACGAGTACATGACCGCCGGACAAGAGGACCGCGACGATGCTTATTCCTCCATTCAGGCCTGGGCGCAAAACACCAGCCCCGAGTTTTACTCTCCTCTTCCCGTTACCCCCAGCGCCCCCATGTCGGAGCCTGAAATCATCAGCGACGATGGCATGGTGACACCCACCGACTCTGTGTCTCTGGTCGGTTCCGGAGAGGATATCGCCAACGATGCGCAATCGTCTCGTGAGGGTGAGACTGGCCGCTACTTCGATGTCATGAGCGAGAGCTCTGGCATGGCTACACCCGCTAGCTGGTCTGAGGTCGGCAGCGTCATCAGCGAGAGCGACGCTCACATTCCTGTCCACCAATAAACTCTGTCATGTAGGAGTTTTAAAATTATCGAGTTGGAATATAGGTAGGGAAGCCAGTGTAGGAGTAGGATTTTATTTTGAGAGTTATATAACGGACGTACAGTCTTTGAGGGTCTGAATTCTTGTGTTTTCCTTTTCGTATGGAGTTGGAGTTTAGGTTGCGGTAGCAAACTTATATCCTTAGCACCTGGCTAATCTCGTTTCTTTAACAAAATCTATCGACTTGTTTGACTCTGCTTGCTATCGTATGTGAACGCCTTATATGCATCAGTAAATCATCATCGACGCCAACATTCAATGTGTATCTGTGTGTATACTACGACTCAAGCTTCTCTTTGTAATCGCCCCAAAGTTGCTCGACTGGCCGCCCAACCAGTTCAGTCCAGAACGGCTTCTCTTCATATTTCTGAATCCGTAACTTCTCATTCAGGCGGCGAATGGTTCCCTTTCCAAACCGTTCCTCCAAGTAGTCCAGGAAATAGGCCGTTTGCTGATAGCCAGCGTCCCACTTTCCATTGCTGTCGCGTTTCCAGTGAGGGGGACTGAGAAGGCAGTGAAGTCGTACCCAGTCTGCGATACCTTCGATCAGACCACCTGGACAAGTTCCATGGCCGTTGTACTGAAGGCAGTGAACGAGCTCATGAGTGAGCACACCATTGATTTCCTCTGTACGACGAGATATGGGGTGGATGTTGGCGATATACTCGACTGAGAAGTGAATCTCCTTATGATCGCTGTCTAGGTCAGAGCCGGTGGTGTAAGCTACACCGGACATGCTACGCAGGATCACCGTCACAGATCGTGTCGTCGGGATTGTTGTGGTAGGACACGTGGGCGATTCATATAGGAGCGCCAGTACATGCTGGGCCGCCTTGGCGAGGCAGTCCGCAGCGTTAACAGAGCTGAGGAATACCGCTGCCCCAGGGTGAGAGAGGTCGCGACACTCAAGACGTAGCTTGGGGACCTTGAACTTGCCGGCGCCGGGAATATCGGGGCCATTCCGTGGGCCGGAGGGAGTGGGTACTTGGATCGCCGGTGTCATGATCGGGGCCTGGGAGAAGATGGAGGCGGGGGTTGGAATGGGAGTGACTGGGGGAAGATGAGGCATATATATTCAAGTGCGTGGTGGTGAGTCAGGGAGAGGGTTTAAGATGGGCGAACCACGATTTTGATGTTAGGGGTTGGAGTTTGGCGAGATGTTGAAGTTTGATGAGAATGGAATGTAACGGAGGGGTAAGATTGGGTTAGAAATGGAGGCTTGCTGAGGAAAGATGAAAACGGCAACTTTATGTGATCATAGAAAATCAAATAAATAATCGAGTCTGTGAGAAGAGAACGAGAACGGCTCATGCGTATTACTGAGATATCATAGGCAAGGAAAACAAATGGATCAATGATGAGGCTGTCTCATGATTGAGATGACCCCTCAGTAGAACTGAACAGGGGTACGGAATTAGTGGCTAGAGCTCTGTTAGGCCCCGCGAAGCTCTGTACGACACAGTGGAGTCGCC